TTACGATCGTTTAAAGTGAAACACCCAAAACGCTGAGAAGCTTTCCGGACAACCTAATACTTGCAAAGACAAGATTCAGTTTTCAGCGTCTGAGAATGGATGAATGAAACGGCCGACTAAGTTGACGCAATGAAAGGTTTTCAGGAAAAGTTCCAAGTGAAGAGAGCATGATAGAGAGACCTGAAAGGGAATTCACTTTCACGCGGAACTTGCAGAAGAAGGAAATACGTCTATCGATTCCAAAAACCGCGGAATTGGGAGAAATGCAGAAATGCGGAATCTGCAGATTCTGCATTTCTCCCAATTCCGCACGACGGCAGGAACCAATCGATCGATCCTAAACCTAATAACCTAAACCTAATATGTTAAAGCAGCAGACTCATATCACACAAGAAAAAGCGGAAAATAATAAAAGAATATAACAAAATAAACACGAACGATAGCAAGCCAGCCGAAATCAGCTGATTAAAGGCCGAGGGATCGGGGGAGGGATTCTGGGCAGGACCAGCGGTGCAAGGTGGTTGCAAGGTGGTTTGATTGGAGCGCGAGTTTTCAGGAAAGTAGGGTGTCTTTGAAGGGCCATAACTTCCTCAAAAGCGGACCTGTGGGAAAGAGGAGACCGCAGTCGTGTAGAGGAAGGTTTGAACTTCCTAAAAGTACTGAAATGTTTATGAAGTTCGCCAAATTCATAGAGAAATTCAGCGTTGGGGATTTATTGGGAGTGCTTTTTTGGATAGTTTGCAGTGCGAATTGTACAGGTTTGAACCAAGATATTTCCCTTGAACCTCAATAGTTTGGAAATCTGAAACCAGCGTTGAACTCTAGAAGACTTTCTCTTTCCAAAAACTACTTGAACGTTTCTGAAGCTTCCGGAACTCATGAGATAATTGCGTTGGGGATTCTTTGGGGAACACTCCGAACTGTTCGAAAGTCCGTTTTCTGTGTACGGTTTCAAGCGAGCGTGTTCGAATAGCCAGAAATACATGTAGAACGTATCCTGTGGTGGAGCAGGAGCAGGATGTGGTTTGTTTAGCGCCAATCATGCTAACTTTGGATGCGCCGCGCATTGAGGTCCGCGCAGAGGTGATGGGATGGATAGTGTCTGTCCACGCGAGCAAATGTGTCTATAGGATTCAGGGAGGTCCATGGCGAACCTGTGCACTTGTTTACAGTGTTTTCCGTTGCGTATGATGGAGCGTGTCCCTGTCGACGCCGCCAGATTCGTGCTCCGCCAATTGCTGATTCCGATAAAGGAGACCAACTGCTGGAAAACGTCTGATACGAACGATATGGTAGTCCTGTCGCTTGTCGAAAAAAAACAGGTTGGCTCAGCGCGCGATCGCGGACACGCCCCATCATCCGCAGCGAACCCAAGTATGAGTTGTAGTGTTGACACCTTTGCGCTGCTCGTTACTGGCTACCGCACTCATTACGACCCCCCCCTCTCCTGGCGGCCAAATACGACCCCCCTGTTGGGGATTCCCCAACCAACGATGTGCCCTGATGTTGCACTCAAGGAGCGATGCGTCATTTTTTGCCGTCAACACAAAACGGTTATGAGCCACAAGATCCATGGGAAAATTCCAGATGAACAAGCCAACAAGATTGTACACCCATCCTACACATACAAGTATTTTATGACTGAGAAACAAAACGCTACTCAAATGTAAATGGTATGTTTATAAATCGAAACAATGAAAAACAAAAAAAATTATGTTCTAAATCTGCTGGGCATCATTGGCTTTACGTGGCTAAATGAGGAAGTGCATTATCCAATACCATATGTCTGCGTTCACTCACCGTACTCCCGCTCGCAGGTGCTCCGGATTGGGATGACCTGATACGGCAGACGGAATGAACATTGAAGCATGATAAATTATTCTCTATAATTATATGTGCAGTTACACCGTTGTCGCTCAGCTCATACCCGAAATTACATTTGCAAATAAGAGGGTTATGACTTAAAACTTTTGCGTGCCGCTCCTGTTGCGAAACCAAGAAACGCAGACAGATAGAGGACAGCGCCTGCCGAAGCATCGAGACGTGCAAAATACTATGGCGAGCCAAGAAAAGAGATTTGCAGGAAGAGGGGACTCCAGGGTGGTGAAGCCACTTAAAGTCTGTGAAAAGCTGGAATGTGCGAAGTCACAATGATGTCAATGAGTGCCGCGCGGACGAGAGAGCGCAGAGAAAGACAGAAATTTGACGCGATCAACGGAATTGAGTTCAAGCTGTCCGTAGACCAAAAAATTGCGAGTTCATATGATTTCATGAAAATTTTCATTTTCCCGTGTTCCGGCTCACTAATGAGCATGAACACGCTATGAGTGAACCATCACGACGGACGAGCAACGTATAGAGCCTTTCAACATAATATCGATCTAGTATGGTGCCTTTCAATAGGTTGACACTTTCATGTAGGCCTTCAACTTCGTGTGGGCGAGGTTCACGCTACCGCTGAACCTGAACCTTTGAATTCTCAGTTTCCAAAAAAAGGAAGAGAGAGAGAAGCGCCAACAATGGGACACAAAAAATGCAGATTGCAAGAATGGGGTATATAACATCGGATGAGCTCCGAGCAACGAAGGGAGACTACTTGCGGTATGCGTTACTTCGTAGTTATGATTCAGCCTCTTGTTAGTAAACCACATGGACAAAAGCGATAACTTGCTACTTTTTACAGCTCAGCCTTGGTTTAGACTGAAACCTACACACGGAGAGCTTATGCCGGCCCAGAATGGAACATGAAGAACACTTAATATGCTGGTACAAATGTTAGAAAGGTGCTGTCACCTTGAGTCCTTTCGTGTTCGATATTGTTGGAGTTCGACTGTTGAGGTCGCGACTTCCTGTGCCAACTCCGACAACGCGTTCTTTACTGAAAAATAGACACCGTGTAGTTGCTGGTTCAATTGCATAGCTCACGCAGGTGATCTGGGTAGAATATGCTGGGGCCGACATCAGGCGCCCAGTAAGGAGAAGCACAAGTAGTCTGGCCCTCAGCCTCCAGGATCGTCCCTTTTGCAGCTTTACAGGAAGTAACAAAAACGCTAGTGGCCCTCAAATTTACAGTTCTGACGCCCCCCTTAGTTGCCCCGCCCTCCAAAACTCAGAGGCTAGTTTCTGTAACGAGTTCACTTTTAATAAGTTTTTCCATTGTTAGACGGCATAAGTATCGGATGACGCGATAAAAGCCAGTGAGCCGGAGCGGTTCCGTCAGGCGGCGGCGTTTTGTCATTGATAACGCCAAGGGTCTTCCCCTTGTCCATCCACACGCCCGCGCAAACTATGCAGCGACGTTTTAGGTGAAAAGCGTCTGTCTGAACCTTTTCTCCGTAATAGTAAGTCCTTGTGAAACGTGTTGAATAGTCGACGAGTTCTCTTTCTTCCCGCTGTGAGGGCTCTGAAAAGAATATATATTGAGCTTCGTTTTATCATTCAACTGACCTGAGTTACCTTGGCACCGTTGAGTAACATGCTCATAGGCATCGGAGGTTTGTCAGTCCCGACATCTTCGATACCGACGACTGATCCAATGCCTCGACCGGTTTGGCGTCGTGCTCTGAGGATGGTTCACTTCATTATGAGAGATGCATAAAATTCAGATGGCGCCTACTTTTCCTCGATTTCTTCAAACCCTGTGAAGGAATGACCAGATGAGAGCTAGACCTACCTTGAACTCCCTGTGGGTATTGGCAGAGTCCTCGACAAGGCCTGTTTTCCGCCCAATCCAGGGATATTTTGGACCATTTGATCAACGACCTTCGACGTAGCCTAGAACTTAGTATTAAAGTATTCTGCTGTCCCGCAGTCTCATTGGGACAACAGGGTGAGTGGACTGACAAGGGAGGTCGTTCAGGGCGTGGTGCGCTTTTCGAAAACGGTTTTTTGCATATTGTAGGGGCTCATGCAAGGACCTGAAAAGTGTGCTTCATTTTCGCTGCGCGCTTCCAGGAAAGGTAAAAAACGAGTGAAAAGAAATCTTTGGAATCTGCTTCGTTCTGGGCCTCTATACGGCGTAGGTCACTTGCAACTTTGACCAGTTGCTGAGTGGGGGGGGTCCTTATCGAAGCGAAAAATCACCGCAAGTGAGCTTCCAGCTGGGGTCACGTGCTCACCAGGAAAGGTCAACAGGTCAGCCTGGCCATTTCCAATGAGCTGCACACCGTTGTACGCGTCTTGGGACAGTGAACTCAAATCTACCTTCAGAATTTGCGGAACGATTCTCTGGACGGAGTTATGGAGGGTCTTATCCCCGCGTGGTCGTTTCACATGCTATCGCGAGGAAACGTGGAAGCGTCTTTACATTTATGTATGGAGTCATGCTGAAACGTGGTAGTAGAGCGCAACGGGTAGGAGAGCGGGTTTCTTAGGCGAGACGTCGTAGGATCGGTTCCGGGGCAGGTCGCTTTTTTTGCATTTGTCCAAGAACATAGCCGACAAAGCTTCTAACATCTCTGCTCGCCTGCACTACCTTATAAGGGAACCTGCGATCAGTTTTTTTAAAGTGTAGACCCATTGTGGCCTGAAAGAGTGCTTCTGCTTGTACCCCTCGTAACACGTGTCACAAGGGTTTTTGCAATGAAATACCATCATATTCATGTTCAGCGGGTTAAATTACCCCTGGGGACAAGTTTCTAGCCGAATCTGATTTTTCGACCTCACTTGGAAAATGTGGGCTATTCCATGGGTAATTAGCAGCAGATTGGAGCTCACCTACCATCGATGACTGGTCTCGGAATGGGATTTCCTCCCGATAGTCAAGAAAATGATGCAGACGGCACAAATAAGTAAGCCAGGTACTGTTGTTTGCAAAAAGACATGACTGAAGAGTTATTTCAGTTCGAAGACCAGTCATCACCAGTATGCTAGTCATAGTATCGCTGTTAGCTATCAGTCAGCCATGACTATCCATACCCCATTTTTTTGAAGTTGAGTCAGAACCTCAGATTTCGCTAAGGTGACGTCTCTAGGGGTTATTTGACCCCCTGAACACGAATATGATACCTATTTTGCGCGAAGAGCGCTGTGAGTCGCGCTACAGGTGCCAACGCTTCGGCGCCAGCGCGCCCGGAAGAAGAAAAACAGTAAAGAAAAACCTCTCTAACTCCGCTCAGAGAATCGTTCCGCAAATTTTGAAGATAGTTTTGAGTTCACCGTCTCAAGACGGGTACAACGATATGCATCTCATTGCAAATGGCCAGGCGACCTGTTGACCTTTCCTGGTCAGGGGTGAACGGCTTCTTGCAATGGTTTCATCAACGATTTCAACGAAATCCCAGCACGGATGGCCTAGTGGATAGAGTGGAGGTTTCGCAATCGGACAGTGAGGGTGGGGTTGATGGTTCGGCTCCCCTTGCGTCGTGGCTTTTTGCATTTTTTAGATTTCGCTGTTCTCGCTTCCATTTGTGTCTGCATGAATATAACTCGGATATTTGCCATTTATGGGCACATTCTGAGTAGCTGTACCTCATGAGTCAGTGCTATTCAACTATTTCGATTTTCACGCACCATTGAACAAGACTGTTGCTGGACGTTGATCCTCATAGGCTATACAGTGGATCTGATTGCGAATTTAGTAACTTCTGGTGTGGTGTCAATTATAGACAATTTGGGGCCACATCTTCTTTCCACTGAATTCGTTATGTACACCAATATAGGGAACGTTCAGCGCTATTCTGTCGCCAAATTGCGTGGACGCCAAGAATAGGTGTTATAAATAGTGTTATATTTGTGATCAGGGCCACTGATTACCACTAAAAACGAATTTTTGGTCAAAACAATTGTTTTGACCTTCTTGGGTTTGCTTATTCCGGGTCCGTAGCGTCAACGATACGTCATCGCTGTTACGAAGATGTGAGACTCCGCTCACACTGCCGACCAAATGGTCGGTCACCTACAACCCGAAAAAGTCAAAAAAAATTTTTCGCTCAAAACTTGCTCCTAGGGGTAATCGACAGTCCTGATCACGATTCTAGACTTTATTTTCGGTTCCAGTGCCATCTGGCACCGGCATAGCGCCGAAGAGCTGAGTCTGTGCATACTAACGAATTCGAACGAAAAAGCAGTTTTGCTCCATAAAAGTAGGATTGTTCAGTTTATCGTGAATGTTTTTGTTAGGACCAATTATTTAGACAAACATGGATCCAAAAAATGAAAAATTGTAGAAAAGCAAAATTTTGTCCTCGTGGGATCCGATTCCTCGGTGGGATCCGAACCATCGACCTATTTTTTACGTTTTTTTATTCGTAGAAGCGCGCAGCGAAAATGAACCTCAGTTTTCTGGTCCTCGTATGTGCCCCTACAATATGCACAAGACCATTTTGAAAAAGCTCACCACGCCCTGAACGACCTCCCTTGTGAGTGGGGGAACAGTCTGTGTGAGCTGTATTTCTGAGTATCTAACTAAAAACAAGCTGAATAACTTCAGGTATGACGAAGGTGCTACGCACCGAAATATTGCAAGATAAGATATTTTCAAAAAACTTTTGAGACTTTTGCTGTCTTCTTGAGTTTTTTGGGACAAACTTTTGGAGTTTCACATTGTTACTACATATTCAGATACTGAAATTTAGTTTTATTCTTTGCCGGTGGTGGTGACCTGATCTACCGAAGAGTTACTAGTTACTTCTAAGAACGAAGAACGTCATGTTAACCATTTTTGATAAAGGTGGCTTCCCCAGAATCGGGTGAAAAAAAAACAAAATAAAAACATCGTGACAAGTTACAGATAGCTCGATGAAAATTCAACTCATATCAAGCTTAGAATTTGCCTTCAACGAAGTATACACCATATTTTTGGCATTTGTAACGTAGGTGGCCGATTTGGAACTCCTCTCCTTCCTTATATGTCTTCCCATTCTTACTGCATTCCAGAAAACTGGTTTTATGCACTTGCTTCATAACTGCTGTCTTCCTCTTATAAGCACTTACCTCGGAACTGGCAGCTATTCCCCCTCCCCCCATCCGCAACACTTTGTCTCCATTTATCGCTCCGTGTTCTCTACCACTTCACATGAGAAAAACAAAACATTTTCTGTGGCTACATCAAGTCGATCGTTTGCGCCCAATGTATTACTTTGTGGAACTTGTGTAACTCTGCACATTTGATTCATACTGTGCAACGCCGCAATGATAAGATGGAAACGCCACGTTGGCCTTGCTTCGTTGTA